TGTTTTTCTTTGAGATGCTAAGAGATCTCAAACTGGCTGATAGTACACCCCCATGGTTTTCTGATGTCAAACCCAAACCACTCTACAAATCAACTGACGCTCAAGCATACTGGGATGTACCTGTATATGCTGACCACATGTATGTACGATCTAATCGTGTGGACGCGCGTTTCATCGACCACAATAACAAGAAAGTACTCATGGTGGAAATGAGCTGTCCGTGGGTTAACAACCGAGAAAAGAAAGACAAAGAGAAGACGAAGAAATATGGAGCACTTAGACTTGAGCTCACAAAACAACACCCAGGATACACGATCTTGCAAGTGAACCTCATTTTGGACGCTCTTGGAGGATGGTCTAAAGAGATGGAGCCTGAGATGAAGAATATCTTTGGAGCAAGATACAAAGATGTATTACTTAGAATGCAGAAAGCGGTATTGAGCTGCACAGTGAACATTGCAAGAACATTTAAATTAATCACATCTTAAGGACATTTCAAACATTCCGAGTATTTAAACTGCATCTTAAGAACATTAATAATTGGTTTTAAGTGATTGTATATATTATTAGTCCTGTCATGCTGGTAGGTTACGAAATTACGCCCTATCTAGTTTACCTAATTAGCATTCAAACGTGTTTACTGCTGATAATAATAAAAATGGTTTCTATGTGGAGCATATGGGACTGGTTAGCCACTTTGATGACATATTTCTTAACCTAGATAGCTTTTTTTCCATCAGATGAAAACTACCAGTTTCTACTTCAACTCGCCGACGAATACCAGATGGATCGAGTAAAGAGGTCGTGCAGCAAGTTCCTGGTCAATAAAATTGAAGTATCAAATTGCCTTGAATTCTTCAAACTTGCTGAACAGTTTGGCCTTGATGACGTAACAGAAAAGTGTTACCAGGAAGTTCGTTACAACTCGTCTGCTGATCTGGAAGATTCAGAGCACTTTGTTGGTTTTGAACCCGAAGTTAAAGTCGATATCTGCATGAGGGTTATCAAAGAACTGGAGAGAACCCTGCGAGAGTATGTGAAGACTTGCTCTGGTCTGGTGCAGAAAGTTTATAAAAAAGTCTATGAGAGCTTTCACAGCAGTATTAGTTTTGTGTCTTTCATTTATAGGCCACTATTTAGCAACAGCAATACAAAGTCATCATCGTACAGCAATACACAGCAGTACAAAGACCCCAGCGAGCATATAAAAGTACATGAAGGACTCCAAAATAAATTTCAAACAGAATTAGCTAAGGCTAAAATAAGTGATGGATACAGTTCTCTTAATCCAAAGGATTATAATACCAAATACTTTGAGTTTTCATGTAGTTTATGTCTAAAGCAAGTTCAGGCAATACCCTGGAATAACAGCAAAAAGTATAGTATCCTAAAGGAACCGTTAAACAAATTAAATGCGTTACAACAAAATAACAAAGTAGTAAAGATGGCTGATAAATGGAAGGAAAACTTTTCTAATCCATTCGGCTTTCAGAGCGGTTTTACCTTTGGAAAATTGTAAACAAACAAATAAATGATTTTTCGAAGAACGTCACACAGCAGTTTTGTTTTCAGGAAAGCTACTCATATGTCGGAAACGTCGCTGGTAACTTCACGCTATTGCCAACAACATTGTAGGTCGTGAAACTTGTAGCGAGCAACGATTTATGCAATTGAGTTAAAGACGTTGCATGCGGCGTTGCGTCTGGGACCGCGGATGCGGAGGGGCTGGTAATGCTATAGCACTACCACTACTACTAGTCTCTTAGTATTTATTAATTATAGCCCTATCAGTACCATACTAGTCTCTTATATAGCCCCTTCACTTTTTAAGGTGCTCCACGGTCCTTGTGCGCATGCACAACTACCAGAGTTGCAACGGGCCCGATACGGTTTTTCAAATTTTACTTGGATATCTTAGTTTGTAATTTTTTTAGGTCTTAGCTTCTTTTTGCGTAAGTCCGTCAGCCATGAGGCGATAAGAATTCAAACCACTCACCCAGTTAAATCGTAGATAGCGGCATTAGAAGTGGTCAAGCTCATCGTAATCACTTCATACTGTCGACTGATAGAACAACAAGAAGCCTGATACGGTGACGAGACCATGGCCTTTGCATGAGGACAAATGGATATGCTGCAAAATGAACTGTGTTGTGAAGAACATATGTATTTAGTTCTGTTTCGTTGATCAGTCTTATGAATGTACAATGCTGTTGTATTACAACTAGATATATAGTTATGACCATTAAAAATAAGACTAAGAAGCGTTTCCTTGATTTGATTTTCCTTGTATAGTGTATACTGATTAAGGAATGTATTAATGATAAAAGGGTAAATTTTAAACCGTGAAAAGATGAAAAAACGTACTGACGTTTCGGACGCTAGTCCTTCGTAGGAGTAAGTACTCCGGAGTACTCCGACGAAGGACTAGCGTCCGAAACGTCAATAAGTTTTTTCATCTTTTCACGGTGTATAATTTACCCTTTTATCATTACTGTTTCATTAGAAACACCGACGCAGCTCACTCTAGTTTTTAGGTAGTTATCTCTTCAAGGAATATATTAGTTTAAAATTAAAATTTAGAGTATAAAGCACTTTCGATATTTGATTGGTCGTTTGACTGACACAGACAGACAGACACTGGATATGTAAGGTAACGCATGCCATACTAGTGAGTAGGTCACTGTTAAACTAAAAGAAAGTCTACATTCACTGGAGAATTCGAACAAGTATAGAAAATATAGTCATCCGTGAGGTTGCAAGAGATGACTGACCAGGAATGCAATTTAGAAATGCGAAGAATGCGTTACGGGTGACGGTTGACCCCAGACTTGCAGGTCATGTAACACAACCCTGTTTAATAACTGGAGGGTGGTTTTCTCGAGAGACAGCGAGTCTTTCTCTTCAAACCGTCAGATTGGTTAACGACACACATCAGCACTCTAGTTACTCAAGAGTTACTGATACATCAATTTTCTCTGCAAAATTTTAGTCTAATATTGACTGATTTTATTCTATTGTAACACATCTGTGCTTTGTTAAGATGCTTCAGACAGGCTGTTTAGATCTCGAAAACAGCTCCCATCGTGTCAAGGGACTCAGTGTTATTTTCTGTTCGTTCCTTTGTTTGTTTAACTGTCTATTGTTGTATTTTGTGCGGGATTCCTGTGTTAATTAATTAAGTCCGCGAAAGAAGACTGAGACTGAGGCTTACTTCACGATACCTTGGTCACTGACGCGAAGAGTGTTGATTTGATGCTTGTTGTTCTGCCAGAAAAGAAGCTCAAAATCACTGATCTTTCTATAGGAACGTAAGTATTTCTAGTTTTATTAATTCACTTATTCATACTATAAACCAGAAGACGTCCTGTCGGTAAGAAATCGATATTTATAGGTATCGATGCTTATAGGTATCGATACTTATAGGTATCGATACATCAGATACTGGAGGACGACCAAAGCGGCGTTGGTCGAAAATTCTGGTACAGTAAATGATTCTTGTGTTCAAAAGCTTAAAAATCTTTATCAATTCTATATCCCAACACAGTTGAATATGCATAAAACTCTTGATAAACCGCAATCGAACCAGATCTTACTCGAATAACGAGGAAAATCATAACAAAGGTTTCTTAGTTGTTTTTTTAATAGTTTCAGTTCTTGGAATTTGCAAGTCTTGCACTTCCGGTTTCAGATTACGGTGGCTCTAAAGATACATTTATCCCCGAGATAAAACACAACACTCGTTCCAACATCCCACTTGGCATTTTCTCACCTATTCCCTTTCTTGTCATCGATTTTATATCAAAAACTTTTAAAAACAAACATCTTATTCGTATTCCCTTTCTCAATAAATAATTAACGGTCCCTTAACAGTTTTATTTATCCTGCAGGTAGTGCGGAATGGAACACCTTACGACCTTGTTGAATAACTATGCAGCGCTTATTAAAGAATCATCTTTGAATTTTTCGTCCCCTCGGCACTTTAGTGATGTGGTACTTGTTGTGGAGGACACCAAGTTCCACGTACACAAATGCATCTTATCAATGTGGTCCCCGGTCTTCGAAACCATGTTTACGTCCCAGTTTATGGAGAGTAATGCCAAAGAGATCCCGTTACCAGGGAAACGTGCTGACGAAATGGAAGTGTTGTTGAAATATATCTACTCATCCGGGACAAAGGCGACAGTTACAGGTAAAGAATGCATTAGCTACTAGGTTTGTAAAGGTAGAATAGGCCCTTTGTAGCTCAGTAATCACGTGCTGATTAATTCACTGAGAGCAAATGAATGAACATCTTGATTCCCATGGGTGAAATATACTGGTGAGCAAACAAAATTTCTACAACCTGTTTCGAGAGATCGTATGATAAAACTGCATTTCGTAACACACTAGTTACACATCGTTTCATTCAGTTCTTTACAAGTAGCTAAAAAGAATCACCAATTTCAAATAAAATAAAAATTTTTGCTCACCTTTACAGACACGTGACCGTTAACTGCAAAGGGCCTATTACCAAAACGTGTGCCGCCCCCCTCCCCTCCCCTTACAAATTACGCAAACATTCCCCAAATATCTAACTTAACTAC